GAGGTAAGATTTATCACAGTGGCTGAAGATAATTAACTGACTTTACTTTTAACAGATGCATACATTTAATTATCCCACCATGAAGGTTGACGGTTTGTGCACTGATTTAATACTGATTATAATTTTGATTTATACATACATTTTTTGCAATCCTGCATATGCGATTTAAAGTGTGAAATACTAAAAACGCAACGAAAATCACGACTTTATTACTGACAATACTTGCATTTTAACGTCAGCTCGCTTGGTGTCACTACTTGTGAAAATAAAGGTCTGTGGAGCATCGTACTTTACGTCAGCAGTTCGGGGCTATTTCGTTATAGGGTGCCATGAGCTTCAGAGCGGCAGCTTCATCATTCTCTACAACACCGAAGCTTTGCTCTTTTTAGAAAAATTATTGTTGTGATATAGAGTGGCGGTGGAAGTCTGACCTACCATTCCTCTGTTTAAAAAAAAAAAAAAAATTCAACTCAATATGGCACAAAAAGGACGCAGTTTATGGTTTGAGTGTTTTCTCGTTCTTATTGTTTCTTTGGGTCATACTTTGAACCTTTCTTCGGCACAGCTGAGATACTCCATTCCAGAGGAGCTAACCTTAGGTTCTGTGGTTGGAAATATCGCTAAGGATTTAGGGCTGGAGCCCAGTGCTTTGAATGCTAGAGGCTTCCGCATCGTTTCTGGATCCGCTGAACCCCCGTTCCGCCTCAACAATAATGGCATCTTACACGTCAACCGAAAAATAGACCGAGAGGAAGTGTGTGAACGGACCACTCCGTGCATTATCAACGTGAAGACTGTACTGGAGAATCCCTTAGAGGTACACTATGTCACGATTGATATTTTAGATATAAATGATCACTCTCCCACCTTCTCCGAAAACGAGACGCTTTTAGAGATTTCGGAATCTGCTTTACCCGGGGCACGGTTTCAGTTACAAGCCGCCCGGGATCCAGACAGTGGCATGTTCTCTGTTCAACAGTACAAACTCAGTCAAAATGAGCATTTTCGTTTGGAGGTAAAAGATCGAGGAGAAGATGGTAAAATTCCTGTTTTGTATTTGCATAGACCGCTGGACAAAGAAGCTGCAAGAACTCACAAATTGCGGCTCACAGCTGTTGATGGAGGAAAGCCTCCGAAAGCAGGAACAATGGAAATTACTGTTAATGTTTTGGATGTTAATGACAATATGCCAGTGTTTTTCAAAGAAGCATATGCTGCAGTGATTAATGAGAATTCTCCAATTGGCACAACGATAATACAAGTAAACGCAACAGATTTAGATGATGGTTTAAATGGGGAGGTTGTTTACTCTTTTGGGAATAATGTAAATGAGAAATTACGTAAAGTTTTTGAAGTTGATGCCAATACAGGAGAAATCATCGTTAAAGGCCTTTTAGATTATGAACTCAAGGACAGATATGAAATTGATATCAAAGCCTCAGATAAGGGACCAGTCCCCTTGGCAACAGAAAAGAGTGTTTTAATCAATATTGTTGACCTGAATGACAACATACCTGAGATAGAGGTGACATCTTTTTCAAGTGCGATTCCTGAGGACTCCAAACCCGGAAGAACAGTAGCACTGATAAGTGTTAGTGACAAGGACTCAGGTGTAAATGGGAAAGTTATTTGTTCTATAATTGATGATGTGCCGTTTACATTAAGACCTTCCCTACAAGAGAATATGTACTCTGTAGTAACAAAATCTCTTCTTGATCGAGAGCAGAAGTCCAAGTATGATGTAACGGTGGTAGCAAAGGATGCTGGGGAACCAGCTTTGTCTTTTCAGAGAACAATTAGTGTTACAGTATCAGATGTGAATGACAACAGCCCAGAGTTTTCAGTAAATCCACTGACTTTTTATCTTACTGAGAACAATGCTGCTGGAGCCTCTTTATTTTCTGTTAGTGCCACTGACTGCGATGAGGGTGATAACGC